CCACAGTGACAAGCGGAGATTGACAGAGCTCCAAGAACCATTCTGGAAGATCTGTGTGTAAGATGGGAGGCCAGTGAGTCTCTCCTTCCTGGGGGGAGCTGAACACCTTATCTTATTTCTCAGCCATGCCTGCAGCTACTTAATGCAGGCTATAGATGGGCCATTTATCAGCTGAATTGTTGGCCGATAAACGAAAAATCGGTAGTTGCCGATGCTGCCACTAATGTCTATGAAAAACAGCCGTTTTTTGTGGATTTTCCAGCGTGACCGATAAAAAGAAACGAGAAGATCCACAAAAAACGGCTGACGGCATTGCCCCACTAACGGCGTGAATATCGGCTGATTTTTCGTGCGGACGACAATTTGGCCCATAAATGACCCATCTGTGGCCTGCATAAACTTCTTCTTTGCCCGATGTCAGCAGCGGAGTTTGCAGTGTTTTATTTGAGCAGGGTCGGCTGTTCAGAGGAGCTTGCTAGTTATAGCCTACTAGTTATTGCTAGTTATTTCACCTTGCTTCACACTGCCTTCTGCTAGGGATACTGTTATGGATCCCATTGATTTTGTCAGCTCTATACATAATAATATAATGCAAACTTCTGTAGTTACTGAGGCACAGTTCAGAGGTTACTAAGGCTGGCCATACATGATTAATTTTCATTCATTCAACTAGCAGGTTAGATAAAAGAAAATTAATTGGTTCCCCCATCCACACATTTGAGGTGGATGGGAGAATGCTCCCACGGAGCTATTGTATTTTATCAGCAGGGAGGCTTCTCCACCACCAGAATACACTCATCAGTGCCGCTGACTAGCTGGCAGCACTGATCAAGCAAAACGTTTCCCTCAACAGCCTAATTGTACAGAAGTCGATCGAGAGAACGACTTCTGTACAACCAGCCTGTCTGTAAATGGATCAAAATTCAACTGGTCCCTGCTGAACTGGGCAAATTTTTATCCATCTACGGACAGATCTAAGGCACAGTTATGTAGCTGGTAAAGCACATTTCAGTAGTTTGAAAGGCAGATTTCTCTGCCTTACAAATTACTGATCTCTGAACCCTCCATTACAAACTACTGAATTCTGCATAGAACCTATAGATGACAACCTCAGAAACTACATTTTTTGGTCTCATTGAGCATTTTCCTGCAGCGCACAAAAATGCTAATTTTTTAATAGCACCCCCATACATCTAGCAAATATGCTTGTATTCACACCTGTTAAAATACATGGTACCACAGTACTATGCATTTTGATGGGGCACAATTTAAAAAATCATGCTAGTACCTTTTTTACATGTTTCGCACACATAGGACAGCCCATTGGAAAATGCAACACGTGAGAACATGTAAAAGAGTGCTTGGAGGCACTACCTGCTGTGAATGAACCCTCAAACTGGTGTGCCTCAAGACTGTGTACAATTCTAAAAGGTGCCTTGACAGGAAAAAGGTTGAAAAACACTGGGTTAGAGAGTGTAGAATAGAGCCAGAGGATGACTGTAGTGATTGTGAGGGAACAGAGTCCAGAGGGCAGGTGGTTAGGTGGGCATTAGAAGAAAAAAGGTTTAGCAAACTTATCTGTAGTAGTGGGGTTGAATGAGGGGAGTAATGAGATAACCTGTGAACATTAAGTGTTAAGTGGGGGAGGTGTCTGTACAGTGGAAATCTCATCACGAATTGTATCAATCTTATTTTTTAAGTGTTTGGCAATCTCCAGGGCAGTGAGTTAGTGCAGGCACTGGAGGATGAAGTAGAGGGTTAAAGGTAGAGAAGAGATGATGGGGACTAGATGAGAAGGTGTTAATGACAGTGATGATATAGGTCTGCTTGGAAGTGTGGAGGCAGGAATTGTATTTTCTTTCTAAAACTCAGTCTTACGCCATAGAAGTTTAAGTACATGGCTATGTTTTTTGAGACTTCTGGTGTTATCTGTTTACCAAGGTTGTAGGGGCCGGGGCCTGATTCTGTGTGTAGTGAGGGGGGCGAGCGTGTCCACATAAGTACATAAATTAAGTAAGCGCCACTTTTTGATATATTAGCAGTAAAATAATATAGGTAAATAAAACAATGTGCGCTATCAAACTTGTGAATTAGCTAATAAAATAGAGCCGCTGCAATAACACTTAAAGCATATATAAATAGTGTTGCGCTAACTTTAAAATTTAAAACTCCCGCTCCGTAAACAGCCTAGTGACGTCATTGCCAGCTGTTTACGGAGCTGGGGTTTTAAAATTTAAATCGATCTGTTAATGCTTCTGTCATGTGAGTGACACTCTGAAACAATTTTATGTGAAATTAAACAGTATTACACTATGGGAGATGTCCTCTGTTCTTTCTGTATGTGGAGTTTAAGCCGAGAACAGTCCCCTATATAGTTATTGAAGGGGTGCCCATCATCGGCTCTCTGCTGCCATCTAGAGCATCTTTTTGGAATTACCATGCTTGGTTGACCTGTATTAATTTATAGGTCCATGGTATGAGGTGAGTGGCCATCTATATATTTTTTAGGTGGAGGAACACTAAGTCAAGGTGGAGCACTGTTTTTTTTAAAATAATTATTTGTCCAGAGCACATCGTATTGATTTTTCACCATTTAAGCACTTTATATATTTTTTCTAATTTATATTTCATATTTTGATTGAACTATCACATTTGAACTTTTTATGGACTATTATGTATATATGAGTTAGCACAACACTATTTATATATGTTTTATGATAAAAGAGAATATGGGTCCTTTCACATGAATGTTCCATTTGTTTAATTAGTTCAGTCACTTTTTTCAAAGAAAAAAACAAAGTCAGTTTTACATCAGTTTTTCATTAGTTTTTATATCAGTTTTTTACATCTACTACCAGTGCAAAAATGAACCGTTTGTTTGTTTACATCTGTTCTTTGTCCATTCCATTTTTTTTTACCAGAAAAAAAATAGGGCTTTGATCCATTTCCCCAAAAAATGGGTGTGAATGTAAATGGATTATTATTATTATACAGGATTTATATAGTGCCAACGGTTTGCTCAGCGCTTTACAATATAACGGGAGACAATACAGCAACAATACAGTTCAATACAAGAGGGATAGGAGGGTCCTCATCCTTTTTCATCTATTTTTCCATAGAAATGCATTGATGTCCGTTTTTCACCTATCAACGGATGGATGAAAAATGGACAAACTGAGCGCCCTTGTGAAAGGAGTCTAAGTGTGGTTTTATTGTTGTCTTTAAGCTGCATTAAAGGACCTTCTCCCCACTGAATGGCACTTTAAGTTTCTTCGGTACACATCCTCATGGCAGTGTCCAGCTACTCGTGTCCTTTTTTGACAAAAACTTAAAAACTGGCTTTGAAAAAGAAAAACCACAAAAACTTTACAAGTTTGTCTCCCATAGACTTTAATTGGGTTCGTGCTTTATGCAGCGGGGGTTGTGGATTTTTTTTTAAGTCATCTGCAAACATCCAGCAAACCAAGCTTTGCCTGGTTTGTTCATTATTAGTCATTATATGTTTTTTGCACTCCCAAATAGTACTAAATGGTGTTAGTAGATCACTTGGATGTGAAAAGTTCTGTCTCCTTCATAAGCTTCACCGTCACATCCAACAACGCTACCATCAAACCCGCCCTGCAGGCCAGAGTACTTGGTGTCATTCTGGACTCCAACCTATCCTTTCAACCCCAAGTCCAATCTTTAACAAACTCGTGCAGACTCCACCTCCGCAACATCGCCAAAATCCGCACGTTCCTAACCCCAGAAACCACTAAACAGCTCATCCACTCTCTCATCATATCACGACTCGACTACTGCAACTCCCTCCTCACTGGCCTGCCTCGCCGCTGGCTATCCCCGCTTCAGTCGATCCTGAATACGGCTGCCAGATTCATTCACCTTTCCAACCGCTCTGTCTCCGCCACCCCCCTCTGCCAATCCCTCCACTGGCTTCCGATTGCGCAACGGATCAAATTCAAAATCCTAACGCTGACGTACAAAGCTGTCCACCATACTGCCCCGAACTACATCACTGACCTAATATCCAAGTACCGCCCAGCACACACACTCCGCTCCTCACAAGACCTCCTTCTCTCTAGTTCCCTGGTCTCCTCCTCCCATGCCCGCCTCCAGGACTTCTCCAGGGTGTCACCCATCCTCTGGAACTCCCTGCCCCAACCCATCAGATTATCACCTACTCTCCTCTCCTTTAGGCGTACCCTGAAAACCCATCTCTTCAGGGAAGCCTACCCCACCCCCTGCTAACTTGCCGACCTCCTCCACTCTTCCTACCACTCCATCCTCCACAGCTATCTCCTCCTGTGCCACCATCCCCTCCCTCCTAGATTGTAAGCTCAAAAGAGCAGGGCCCTCGATCCCCTCATGTTTTGCATTGAATTGGTATTGTTCTGTCACATGTTCTGTCCCCCTTTGTAATGTACAGCGCTGAGCGAACTATTGGCGCTTTATAAATACTGTATAATAATAATAAGCTCATAAGGGACATAAAGATATTGCAACTGATATACTTGGGCAACTTTCTTGTTAACGATCTGATACAGATACAATAGCGGAATTCGCACTGAAAATGCTGCGAATTCTGCACCGCATCAGTGTGAACCAGAGTTTGCACAGGGAATGCATAAAGGTAAAAAATATCTTGGCTTTAGAACCACTTTAACTTATGTTATGTGAATGAGGAATTATAACAAGTATAAAGCAGGTGTTATCTCATTTGGCTGCAAAAATCCAAATACACTTTGAGGCAGGGGTCCATACACTAGAGTTTTATTTTATATTACAGAGAATGTAGCAAAAGGAGTAAGTTTACTTTGCTGCAGGGGAAGAACTGAGGTTCTCTGGCCAGAGGATGTAGAGTGATGGTACTCACACAGGGAGAACTCTCCTTTTGGAGTGCCTGAGTGATCAAGAAGCCAGAGGGTGAATGAACAATAATACAAGCAAATTAAAACCCCTTTTATGTACTTATTTTCTTTATATGTCTTTTGATTTTACAGATTGTTAACAGGAATCCTCCATTTGGAAATCAAATAAAAGAATCTGTACTGCACCTTCCAACCTATGAGCTTGGCATTGAACAGGTAACTCAACTATTAAATCCCATATCAAATTTTACAGCTTTTACCTCATTAACCACTTCAGTTCCGGGCACTCCCCCCCACCCCCCCCCCCCCCCCGCCAATTTTCAGCTTTCATCGCTGTCGCACTGTGAATAACAGTTGCGCGGTCATGCAACACTGTACCCTTAAGACATTTTTATAATTTTTTTTCACACAAATAGAGCTTTCTTTTGGTGGTATTTAATCACCACATCATTTTTTATTTTTGCTAAATCAAACAAAAAAGACCTGAAACTTTTTGGGAAAAAAATGCACTTTTCTTCGTTTCTGTTATAAAATTTTGCAAATAAATACAATTTCTTCATAAATTTAGGTCAAAATGTATTCTGCTACATTTATTTGGTGAAAATAATTGAATTTGTATTTTTTTTTTTTCAAATGTTTCTATTTTGTTTTATTTTTTTATTACATTTTTTCTTTTTTTTACGATTTTATTTTTCAGCACACTGTGACCAAAGCAATACAATGTTACCATAGTAACATTGAACTACTCTGGGCAAGTGATCAGGATTTTTTTTTTTTTTTTTTAACACATTATGATTGCTAATACCAATGTATTTCATTGATATGTGCAATCATTGTTACTGAATAAAACTGATTCATGCAGTCTTTTGTTGTGATTAGCTGTGATTGGGCAAAGCTGAACACATGATACAGATGGGCTGTGATTGGCCCTGTCTGTATCATGTGACTGCCTTGACCAGTCACAGCTAACAACATAATTGTATACAATGGATGGCATGACAGGAAGTCATCTATTGTATACAATTGACATGTGATCTGCTGTGATTGGTCACAACGGTCACATGACACTGGCAATGGGCCAGTGTAGTGATATGTCATCGGCTGTGTCCCAAAGGACACACCCTGTGACAGATCGCCGCTGCTCGGCCCGTTTTGACAGGACATCATATGACGCCCAGTCATACTGCACAATGGCTGAAACAGGAACGTGAAGGCAAGTCTATGAAAATGGGGGTTGTGAATACAATGTCTACATGCCTGCAAATGCATTTCTTTTATTTTATTTGAACTGGAAATGTTTGGTTTTCACACAAATTATATCAACCCCAACACTGCCAAAAATAGTGTAACTCTAATATTAATGTCGAGGGACTGCTCTGTTCATTTTGGTCTGGCACATTGGACTTTTGGGCTAATTGTCAAGAATCTTACTACTTAGCAACCCACTCCCGATTTGACACCAATATTTGGCAATAAATAAATCATATACCCATTCTATACAATATATTTTTCTGACATGCAAAAGCCACAGTACACATTCTGTTCAATTACAGTTTATATGTTTTCTAATGAAGAACATATGTGCTTCTTTTTAGTCTGCTAAATGCTTTTTGTTATATCCATTCGATGGGTGAAAAAAAAATCTGTTGATCCTGCCAGAACTCTTCCTATTCTCTCTGCCTGTTTAGTGTTATTAGCATTGTTCACAGCTGTCTGTGTACATCTCTGATTGGGAGATGTCCTGTAGTCCTAACACACTTTCTATCCTAGGGTAAAAACACTGTTCCTGCACAGGTACAGTATGATAAGTGAGTGACGTCACCCTAGAAGAGAAACTGTGTTACTGACAGGACCACCAAGTGAAAACATGGCCATCTTAATAGCATCATGGTCCCTTGGGCAAAGTATTGCACTGGGGCCCCTACCAGCCTGCCCCAATTTACGCACCTACTCTCAAGAATTAAAGTATAAATAGAATTAAAACATATGTTTAGTACTTTCAATAAAATGGATAACAATTAGATGTAGAAAAGGGGAGTTGTAGGCAGAAGGGCACAGTACAGGGGGAGTCAGGAGGGCACAGTCCTGGGATCTGGAGGGCACAGCACAGGTTCTGTGGGCTTCTGTCTCCGCAAACCCGGGACTGTTGGGACGTATGATGTGATGTAAGGTTATGATGGGACATCTATGCACCTGGGACTCCTGGGCACTGCCCAGGGGTACCCATGCATTAAGACAACCCTGAGAGAAAATAAATGGAAAAAGGCCTTAAAAATGTAATCGAATGCAGCCACCACATCTATGGGCTGGTAGGCCGGAGTGTATATTACATTTTTGTTCTTTGGTTTACATATACCTTAATTTGATTAAACGGTCTTTATTACCAGGTGACATATATATATATTTATTTATTATTTTGTAATACTTGTAAAAGGAAATAAAGTACGCCTGTACTGAGGAACTGTACTAACCAAAGATTTTGTATTTTTCAAATTTACTTCTTTTAGTTAACAAGATACACTTTATCAGTTGCAGAAATTGTTGTTACTGTCCTGTTAACAAATTATGAGAAGTTACAGAAAAAGAGAACAGCACCAGATTGTCACCATGTTACACTTATTATTGGAGATACTGATAACAATATTGTCTTTAAGCAGAAAATAATGTAAGTAATTTTTTTTTTTTTTTTTTATTTGAATATGACCAGCACCAAAGAAATATGATTGTTTTGTAATTTGTAACTGGAGTTTTGAAGACAACTTGCCAACATAACTTGTATGTACAAGGTCTGTTATGACAAATATTTTAAAATTGATACAATTTAATAGCACCTTTGCTGTTTTTCCTCATTGAGGAAATAAAATAAATATAGATTTGGATTAGGGCATGTGGGGGAACTGACTGCCACTGACATCCCCAGTGACACCAATACAGTGATCAGTGCTAATAAAAAGCACTGACACTGTACTAATGGCACTGGGCAGGAAGGGGTTAACGTGGGGTGATCAAAGGGTTAATTGTGTGCTGTTTTACTGTGGAGGCTATGTGTGTGCTTCACTGTAAGCACACTGCTTTGTATGGCTCTGCTATGCAAAGCCATGCATAGTAGTGTGCAGGAGCCGACAGGGGAGACAACTGTAATGTTTACTTACAATTCTCTACCTCCGTCAGTAATGCTCTGCAGTCACCGAGTGCCGGTGAGTAATCACCGGCTGGGACCCAGTAATGCAGGTAGGGCACATGCGCTGCTCGAATGCGTCCCCTACCCGGAAATGCAAAATCACATATATACGTGATTTTGTGCACCCCTGCTGCCCTGTAGCAATATATCTGTTATAGGGTGGCGGGAAAGCGGTTAATACCAGTCATCTGCAAGAAAAAAAAAAAATAAAGAAAAGGTTTGCTTTCTCATAATTGGATGAAAGATGTCTACACTATACTCACCAAGCTAAGTGAATATTAACTTTGCAAAGTGATCATTCACTTAAGGAACTATCCCTGTTTTTTTAATAAATCAACTCAGTTGTGTCTGGATCTTTAAATGAAGCCAAAACATAAAGTGATTTATATCCACACAAGACAAAAAAAATGGTTATTTGTGTTTAGGTGGATAACCGTATGAGTTGCCACTTAAAAGGTGGTTTACAGAATAAAGAAATGTTGCACTGATTAAATATATATTCAAATGCTTTTTTTCAAATGTATTGGTTTGATAAATAATTGGTTCAATAGAGTATATGTATGTGTGTGTGTATATATATATATATATATATATATATATATATGTGTAGTATGTGTATATATATATATATATATATATATATATATATATATATATATATATGTGTGTGTATATATATATATATATATATATATATATATGTGTGTGTGTGTGTGTGTGTGTGTGTGTGTGTGTGTGTGTGTGTATATATATATATATATATATATATATATGTGTGTGTGTGTGTATATGTATGTATGTGTGTGTGTATATATATATATATATATGTATATACACACAGTGGGGCAAAAAAGTATTTAGTCAGCCACCAATTGTGCTAGTTCTCCCACTTACAACACGGACTTTCAACTCCCTCCCAAAGGTTTTCTATGGGGTTGAGATCTGGAGACTGGCTAGGCCACTCCAGGACCTTGAAATGCTTCTTACGAAGCCACTCCTTCGTTGGGATCATTGTCATGTTGGAAGACCCAGCCACGTTTCATCTTCAATGCCCTTGCTGATGGAAGGAGGTTTGCACTCAAAATCTCACGATACATGGCTCCATTCATTCTGTTCTGTACATGGATCAGTCGTCCTGGTCCCTTTGCGGAGAAACAGCCCCAAAGCATGATGTTGCCACCCCCATGCTTCACAGTAGGTATGGTGTTCTTTGGATGCAACTCAGCATTCTCTCTCCTCCAAACACAACGAGTTGTGTTTCTATCAAACAGTTCTATTTTGGTTTCATCTGACTATATGACATTCTCCCAATCCTCTTCTGGATCATCCAAATGCTCTCTAGCAAACTTCAGACGGGCCCAGACATGTACTGGCTTAAGCAGGGGGACATGTCTGGCACTGCAGGATCTCAGTCTCTGGCGGCGTAGAGTGTTACTGATGGTAGCCTTTGTTACGTTGGTCCCAGCTCTCTGCAGGTCATTCACTAGGTCCCCCGTGTGGTGCTGGGATTTTTGCTCACCGTTCTTGTGATCATTTTGACCCCACGGGGTGAGATCTTGCGTGGAGCCCCAGATCGAGGGAGACTATCAGTGGTCTTGTATGTCTTCCATTTTCTATTTATTGCTCCCACAGTTGATTTGTTCACACCAAGCTGCTTGTCTATTGCAGATTCAGTCTTCCCAGCCTGGTGCAGGTCTACAAATTTATTTCTGGTGACCTTCAACAGCTCTTTGGTCTTCACCATAGTGGAGTTTGGAATGTGACTGTTTGAGATTGTGGACAGGTGTCTTTTATAGTGATAAAAAGTTCAAACAGGTGCCATTGATACAGCTAATGAGTGCAGGACAGAGGAGCCTCTTAAAGAAGAAGGTACAGGTCTGTGAGAGCCAGAAATCTTGCTTGTTTGTAGGTGACCAAATACTTATTTTCCACCATAATTTGCAAATAAATTCTTTCCAATCAGCCAATGTGATTGTCTGGATTTTTTTTCTCATTTTGTCTCTCATAGTTGAGGTCTACCTCTGATGCCAATTACAGGCCTCTCTCATCTTTTTAAGTGGGAGAACTTGCACAATTGGTGGCTGACTAAATACTTTTTTGCCCCACTGTGTGTATGTGTGTGTGTGTGTGTGTGTGTGTGTGTGTGTATATGTATATATGTGTGTGTGTGTGTATATATATATATATATATATATATATATATATATATATATATATATATATATATGTATATGTGTAGTATGTATGTATATATATATATATATATATATATATATATATATATATATATATATATATATATACACACACACACACACGCTCACCGGCCACTTTATTAGGTACTGTACACCTTGCTAATCCTGTGTTGGACCCCCTTTTGCATTCAGAATTGCCTTAATTCTTTGTGACATAGATTCAACAAGATGTTGAAAACATTCCTCTGAGATTTTGCTCCATATTGACTTGATAGCATCACTCAGTTGCTGCAGATTTGTCGGCTGCTCATCCATGAACCGTGAACCATGAAGGCAGGATGGATCCATACTTTCATGTTGTTTACGTCAAGTTTGAACCTGCCATCTGAATGTTGTAGCTGAAATCGAGACTCATCAGACCAGCCAACGTTTTTTCCAATCTTCTATTGTACACTTTTGGTGAGGCTTGTGCGAATTGTAGCCTCCATTTCCTGTTCTTAGCTGACAAGAGTGGCTCCCGGTGTGGTCTTATGCTGCTATAGCCCATCTGCTTCAAGGTTCAACATGTTGTGCAATCAGAGATCGTATTCTGCATACCATGGTTGTAACAAGTGGTTATTTGAGTTACTATTGCCTTTCTATCATCTTGAACCAGTCTTCCCATTCTCCTCTACATCAGCAAGGCATTTTCATCAAAACAACTGTCGCTCACTAGATATTTTCTCTTTTTCAGACCATTCTCTGTAAACCCTAGAGATGGTTGTGCATGAAAATCCCAATAAATCAGAAGTTTTTTAAATACTCAGACTACCCCGTTTGACACCAACAACCATGCCACATTCAAAGTTCCTTAAATCTCCTTTCTTCCCCATTCTGATGCTTGGTTTGAACTTCAGCAAGTCGTCCTCACGATATCTAGATGCCTAAATGAGTTGCTGCCATGTGTTTGGCTGATTAGTAATTTGTGTTACCATGCAATTGAACAGGTGAGGCCGGTGAGTGTGTGTATGTATATACAATTATGTCCATATATATTTGGACACAGGCACAATTTTAATTTTCAGTTATTTACCAAAACATATTCAAGCTATAGTTATATAATGGAAATGGGCTGAAAGTGCGCACACTCAGGTTTAATTTGAGGGTACGTACATCCAAATTGGAGAAAGGGTTTAGGAATTACTGTTCTTAAGAGTAGCCATCCCTCCTTTTTCACGGTATTTGGACAATTATTATTATTATTATTATTATTATACAGTATTTATAAAGCGCCAATAGTTCACTCAGCGCTGTACATTACAAAGGGGGACAGAACATGTGACAGAACAATACCAATACAATGCAAAACATGAGGGGATCGAGGGCCCTGCTCTTTCGAGCTTACAATCTAGAAGGGACGGGATAGTGGTACAGGAGGAGGATAGCTGTGGGGGATGGAGTGGTAGGAAGAGTGGAGGAGGTCAGCAAGTTAGCAGGGGGTGAGGTAGGCTTCCCTGAAGAGATGGGTTTTCAGGGTACGCCTAAAGGAGAGGAGAGTAGGTGATAATCTGATGGGTTGGGGAAGGGAGTTCCAGAGGATGGGTGACACCCTGGAGAAGTCCTGGAGGCGGGCATGGGAGGAGGAGACCAGGGAACTAGAGAGAAGGAGGTCTTGTGAGGAGCGGAGTGTGCGTGCTGGGCGGTACTTGGATATTAGGTCAGTGATGTAGTTCGGGGCAGTATGGTGGACAGCTTTGTACGTCAGTGTTAGGATTTTAAATTTGATCCGTTGCGCAATCGGAAGCCAGTGGAGGGATTGGCAGAGGGGGGTGGCGGAAATGGAGCGGTTGGAAAGGTGAATGAGTCTGGCAGCCGTATTCAGGATCGACTGAAGCGGGGATAGCCAGCGGCGAGGCAGGCCAGTGAGGAGGGAGTTGCAGTAGTCGAGTCGTGATATGATGAGGGAGTGGATGAGCTGTTTAGTGGTTTCTGGGGTTAGGAACGTGCGGATTTTGGCGATGTTGCAAAGGTGGAGTCTGCACGAGTTTGTTAAAGTTGGACTTGGGGGCTGGAAGGATAGGTTGGAGTCCAGAATGACACCAAGTACTCTGGCCTGCAGAGCGGGTTTGATATTGGCGTTGTTGGATGTGATGTAGAAGTCAATGGGGGGTGGGGTTCGGGCTGGGGGGAATACAAGGAGCTCGGTTTTGGAGAGATTCAGTTTAAGGAAGTGGATATATATCCACTATATATATCCAATATAATCACAAATAAAATGTTCATTTGTAATATTTTGTTGAGAATCCTTTGCTGGCAATAACTGCCTGAAGTCTGGAACCCATGGACATTACCAAAGACTGGGTTTCTTCCTTTCTGATGCTTTGCCAGGCTCTTAACTGCAGCTGTCGTCAGTTTTTCTTTGTTTGTGGGTCTTTCTGCCTTTAGTTTTGCCTTCAGCAAGTGAAATGCATGCTCAATTGGGTTGAGATCAGGTGATTGACTTGGCCATTGCAGAATATTGTGAAGCCACTTCTTTTCCCCTTCAAATGCTCCTGGGTTGGCTTTTGCAGTGCCACTGGAAGAGTGGGTAGGCATTGGATGACGTTGTCATTGGTCCATTCTCCACACTTTTTTATTTCCTGTACTGGTCAGGGTAAGTGTCTAATTATGAGTATAGCACTGAAGGGGCCGTTCAATCAGTACTTTGGTGCAGCATTGGGCTTGCAATAAAATGAATCTGTGCTAAAAAATCATAGATAGGAATTCTGGGCAGGATGACAGTATATCTCTAAACTGTATCAATATATTCCAGCATTCCATCCAGCTTAGCTTCTGTCTTCTGTCACATCATTCCATCCAGCAATTTATTAATTGTGTAACAAAAACAAGCCACAACTCACAATGAGTATATGACAATGAACGTTTGTTAGTGGAGCTACAAGCTCTGTATTCTCACCATGCATGCCCTGCAGTGGTCCGGAACGTGCACACTGCCTGCCTCCATTTTTACTTCTTCTGATGGAATGGTAAGCAGTGGTGGAGGGCTCTCTTATAGAGCCACCTTGTGTTTAATGTTTGGATCATGAGCTGTTTATAACAAGCCTTCTCCATCACTTTTTTTGGAACCCATAATTACATAAACTAGAAATAGAAGTAATAATGAAATGGATTAAAATTAAATAAATATAAAAATAAACCTGAATACAAAAAAATATTAATCTTATAAATGCTTCAGTTAAAAAACATCCATTAGTTCGCATTAGGTCAAGTTTTGGGAATCAGACTCAATGGCCCGAAGTGTCTTTATGGGGGGATCACACAATTATGATATATGCAACTATGAAACTTATACCCCTTGCTAATTCAAGACACTTCTAAATGATGTCCAACTAACTATTGGCATAACTAATCAGATCCACCAAAATTAATATTATTGGAGTTATCTATTTCAAGCGTCTTTATTGCCCTAATCTTACAGGTCAAATACATCTCTTGTATAGCAATACCCTTCTCAACGTTGAAAACCTGTCCTCCACATTCTGCCATGAACAGGTTTGCTATACTGGGCGCAATACGGGCTCCATTGCTACACCCCTCTTCTGGGGAGAATGAATCTGTGATTGTACCATAAAAGTAATTGTGGGATAAACAGAATTCCAGAGTGTCTCTCAAAAACCGTCTTTGATGATTTATGGATCTTCCCTCTACTTAAGAGACCAGTTCTAATAAGGATCATCCATACAATATAAAAGCTTTGGGCTAAAGGCACATCATTTTTAATGTTAAAGAGATTAACATAGATAAATGGCACATCGAGCAGGATGATAATTAGGGAATGTTTGAGAAACTACCAGTATAAAACAAAAAATGTTTAGAGGTTTTTATTCTGTATTAATAATAATAAATTTACCTCAAATGTAAATCAATAATAAATGTGATAAACCAGATGACCACAAATAATAGGAATGCAATCCTAAACCAAATCAATAAATTGAGTCTATTCTCAAGCTTAATATCCACCACCATTTATCTCCTAAGGGATGTTATAAACTGGACTTAATTGTTTCATTAGGGATGCAATAAAATAATCAGTGCAAAATCAAAGATATCATCTATAGGATTCCCCATATAGTCCATTCAGTTTAAGTCTATATATCAATGATCCTCTAATAAATGAAGTAATGAGATCCTCCTTTTGTACCAATGTGATATCCAGTGCACAGGGGGGGTTGAATATGAAAGGGGGCTGGACTCCACCACCATGGTTAATCACCAGACATGGGATGTGGGGGTGGGGTACTGGTGACTAATTAGGATTCACACCAGCGTTATTCAATATATATCCAGCATTCACCAATTAGGGGACTTCCAGCTTAGCGTGAGTATATATGGTGGTGGAAAAATCCTCTTGTGAAGTCTCATTGATTCAAGAGTGTCTTAGCACATGTGAATAAAAAGAATACTCTCCAATGCGTATCACATTTGTTTGGATTTGTTTTTGTTTTGTTTTTGAAGCCTTACGATGGCCTGTTTCATTTGCATGGACAGCTCCTTTGAAGGCATGATGTAGGTTCACAGCAATAGATTCCAAATGCAAATACCACACTTAGAATCAACTCCAGACATTTTACCTGCTTAATTGATGAGGAAATATTGGAGTAGCCCACACCTGGCCATGAAACCGCTTTTGATTCAATTGTCCACTTGCTTTTGGTCCCTTGAAAAGGGGGAATGGCTTCTCTTAAGATTTGTAATTCCTAAACCCTTCCTCCAATTTGGATGTGCATACCCTCAAATTAAACTGAGAGTGTGCACTTTCAGCCAATATCTATTATAGAACTATAGCTTGAATAGGTTTTGGTAAATACCTGAAAAAGATAAAATTGTGCCTCTTTCCAAATATATATGGACCTAACTGACTGTATGTATGTATGTGTGTGTGTGTGTGTATGTATGTGTGTGTGTGTGTGTGTGTGTGTATATATATATATATATATATAAATTTTAAAGTTGTCTAGGGTTTGATAAATCATATTTTCTCATTTGTAGGGACAATGCTTTGTTGAAATCAGGAACCTGGACAAGAAAAATTGACATAAAGAGGGCTTTTACATCTGATGAGTTAAGTGTTCATTTAATCAGTTCTGACTATGGTAAGATAACATTTTTGATACAAATATTTCTACCTCTCAGGTGCTAAAATTCACTGATATACTGCAGGAAAATTGTGAATACTGAACATATGCTTGCTGCGGTGGCTACCTCAGCTCTTTCATGCTTGCTATGGGTTTACTTAAGTGTTATTAAACCCTAATTTAAAGTGATTGTAAAGCTTGTTTGTTTTTTCATTGCAATAAAAAACATGTTAAACCAGGCCTGGATCTAGGGGGATGCTGCGGTTGAATACTGCCCTCATCAGAGGGGCACTCTGATGAGGGCAGTTAAAGTAAGGTTGCATTCTGATGAGGACAGTTGATATGAGAGGACACTGATGGGGACAGTTGATGTAAAGGGGTATTCTGAAAGGGAGCAATCAATGTTAGGGAGCATTTTGATGCCAACAATTGATGTAAGGGGGGTACTGTAATGGGGCAATTGATGTGAGGGGGCACTCTGGGCAGAACTGTCATGTAAAGGGGGGGGCTCAGATGATGAAGACTCCTGATGTAAGGAGGGACTCTGATAGGGACACCTGATATAAGGGGGCACAGTTTCTGTTTAATCATCCTACTCTGACAGCCTAATACATACTGGCATTCCCTGCTCATTCTTGCATCAGTTCTGCACTGCCTATCAGACATTACTTCCAGGGCTTGACTCATTGTACAAAAAGGGTTCTGAGTAAACAGGGTTTACTCATTCCTTGCATCTTTCACACTGTGTGGCAGACTGTCAGTGACTCACATACAGTGTAGACATTATGTCCCCCTGACTGTTTTTACTGGACCCTCATGTCAGACAGGATTCATCTGGCTCTGTGTCATAGTTGCCTTCTCTAAGTCTATGGTTTTGCACAGAGCAGTCCTTACTTCTCCTCCTGGAGTTCCCCTCCAGTGATATCAGCTCCTCCTTCCCTGCGTATGCCCCTTCAGCAAGCCAGATGCTGAGGGGGCATTAGTGTGGGTATGCTCCCAATCCAGACTGTGTGCATCCATATACACATCCGGCACAGGTTGGCCAAACCCCCTACTCCCTCCTCACAGGGTTTGACTGGCTGCTGCCAGGAGATTATGGCTCATGTAAGTGTTTAGGGATGGTTGGGGGTGTAAACATGCAGTGAAAGTTTTTTTTTTTTTTTAACCTTAAAGCAGAGACTATATTAATATAAATTACCTTTTGAGTTTATAACCATTTTTAAAGGAAAAAGCACACATGGTGCTGTAGACCTCAGCACTTTGTTTTCAGGACCATTTTTCTTTTATTGCTGTGCATGCTTTACTGTCCTCTCTGACTCCAGTCTTCAGGTGACTCCATTTCCTTATACTGACCCATGCAGCAACCTTTGCATGCATGCTGCTAAGCAGGTCTGTGGATACTTCTTACCACCACAGAAGCTCATAGCACCTCCAGCAAGCCAAGGCTGTGCCCTCCAGCTGCTTACTAAGCCTGCAGTGTCCCTGCCGTATGCTGAAGGAACGGAGCTGAAGACATAGGGTGGTGACAGTGAGCTGGGGAGTATCTTATGGTTTGGCACAGATATTAAGAAAACCTGGTGCTGGGACATGTTGCATTGCTTTGCATTATCAGAGGATTTAATACTACCTTAAGTAGTTGGGTATAAGCATATTATGATTTTCCTTGTCCAGGACATCAGTTTTAGTGATGATCAGGTGCTAATGATATTATCAGAAAATTGCTAATTATTAGTAGCATTGTTATAGAAACAGAAGGCAGGGGAGGGGAGGGCTTTGATTTTCTTTTCAGCATGGGGGGAGTTTAGATGAAAAACTCACTGGTGTCCTAGGTGAGTGGGGACCTAGGTAGGTTGAACAGGCAGGTATTCAAACCCAACTGAAATGTAAAACTTGGAGCAGGTTTTAAACTGAACAAGCAACGTGCCATGTAGTAATTAGCAATACAGAGATTTTACCACACACTGCAATGTATATCATTTCACCTTTAATGAAATTAAACTCTAAATAACAAAAACTCGCCTACATAGAGGTTAAAGCTGAGCATCTTCATTAACCACTTGCCCTCCAGAGGATTTACCCCCCTTTCTGACCAGGCCATTTTTTGTGATACAGCGCTGTGTTACTTTAACTGACAATTGCGCGGTCATGCAATGTTGTCCTTTTTTTTTTCCCCACAAATAGAGCTTTCTTTTGGTGGTATTTGATCACCTGTGCATTTTTTTTATTTTTTTGTGCTATAAACAAAAAAAAAGACCAACAATTTTGAAAAAAAAAAAACAATATTTTTGACTTTTTGCTATTAAACACGTCCAATAAAATATTTTAAAGAATCAAATTTCATCATAAATGTAGGCCAAAATGTATTCTGCTACATGTTTTTTGCTAAAAAAAAAAAAACCCAATACATGTAAATTAATTGGCTTACGTAAAAGTTATAGCGTCTACAAATGGCGGTATATATACTGGAATATTTATTTATTTATTACTAGTAATGGCAGCGATCAATGACTTATTGCAGGACTGTGGCGGGCATTCTGACACTAGACGGGAACTGGCTAACTGCCACTGACATGCACAGTGACACTAATACAGTGATCAGTGCTAATAAAAAGCACTGACAATGTACTAATGACACTGGGCAGGAAGGGGTTAAAATCTGGGGTGAGTGTGCTGTGTGTGTTTTACTGTGTAGAAAAGCTGCTTTGTATTGCTGTGCTGTGCAGAGCAATACAAAGCAACCTGTTCGTGCTGACAGGGGAGAGGTCTGTATTTGTTTACATACAGACCTCTCCCCTGTCAGCTCTGCTGATGATCACTGATGATTGACATGCCGAGGAGCCAATAGTGCCCCCCCCCCCCACCCGAAAATACAAAATCATGTATATAAACGTAATTTTGTGCATCCCTGCCGCTCTGTAGCAGTACTTCTGCTATAGGGTGGTCAAGAAATGGTTAAAAAAAATGTGAGAGTAATTTACACGATTGGGTATTCAAAGTGAACAATAATGCACTTTTCACGATTGGCAAATTGAAAGCTCTTTTGGCCATACTTCTCCTGTGGGTCACAGGAATGCACTCAGTTCGGCACTCCTGTGACCCAGATTCAGCCGACAGCAGGCTAAAGTCCACTATTGGCTGACATTATTGAGCTGTTCCAGGCTCTGCAGGGATCCTGAAAATAATGTTGGCATCTGGCCGGATGTCTGACCTGACTGAGAGGCTGAGCCAGCCCCTCCCACCCTCTGCAGATCCCAATGCTCTAGTGAGCGCTGGAGGGGCAGAGCACAGAGCGGGTGACTGACAGTCACACTTCTGTGCTCAGAGTGGACCTAAGAGCTGAGTGATCAGCAGCCTTTGATTGATCTGTTCTCAATGTAGAGCTAAATGGGGACAGCTGCAGCATTGGATTGATGAGTATAAATGTTTGGGTTTTTTTTTTTTTTTCTTTTCCCCCACTTTTCTTTTAAAGCAATAGACAACCAGTATTAGAAATAAGGTGACTAGTTTAACAGCATCTGTGCTATTAGCCCATAGTAAATATTAAAGTTATTTTACTGGTCAGGAGGAGGAATTTAATATTTAATTTCAAGTGGCTATATTGTGTATTCCTGCAAAGTACTGCTGAAAGGGAAAAATAAAATCATGTATTTAACTGTTCTTGTTTAAATTGCCTTTTATGCATGCCATGTGTTAATAGATATACTATAATCCTATAGTAAATTCCGTATTAATAAAATTTACAAAGTTAGAAACAATTTCTTACGTAAAATTAAGCAATAGTGATTTGTTTTTTCTGGTGTATTTTAAAGTTGGCCTTGATATTCAAGAAAAATTTAGACCTCTATATTTAGGAGATCAAAAATTTGGACCAAATGTTGATGCTGAATCAAAGTCTGAAAGTAAATATTTAAGCAACAGCAACTTGCAGCTTATCTCTGGTGAGTATTTAGAATCCAACTAGCTCTTTGCCTCGCAGTGTTTATAGATCAAGCTGTCAATAGATCAAGGTGTTATAGGATATAGCCTGACGACCCTTGGGTGATTTGTAGGAGCTACAGAATTGCCTGTCTTACTGTTGCTAGGAAATAAAAATTACCTGCAGCCAATGAAAATGTGATTGACTTTATGTAGCATTTTAAGCTAGTTACAGCTGCAGATGATCATGGCACACAAGCGATTGTAGCTGCATAGAACAGCATTGTAGCCAGTTAGAGCTTGCCAGAGACAAAAAAGCAGTGCGTTTTGTAGCTGCTACAAACCACCGACACAAAATTAGTGGGGTATGGCCCATAATGTCTTGCCTTCATTTACACTTCTGGGGTGTAATGTTTGAGCTTTGACATATGTAGAAATAAGGTATTGTCAGCAGCCTTTTAGATAGTAGACCCTTACGAATTCCCTTACTAGTAGGGAAACAATCACACACAAGTTACATTTTACTAATAATTGGGCCAGCTGTGTTTTTGTGACATTGATTGTGCTCCCTATAATTCCTAGCATCTTGTCTGACCCAGCAACAGGTTTCCCACTGACTGCACTGAAGTGAAATACATTGGAAGTTTATTCATGTAAAACCCCAGTACACACAACTGATTTGTGTTGTGGACTTGGGTTATAGGTAGGAGGGTGAAATATGTGCATCTTGTTGGTAGGCAGGATGAAATCATTTCTAGAGTAATTTCCAGTGTAGGAGAATCTACCAGTTGTTTTACTTACTACTGAAATAGCATATTGACAGCTTTACTTTTTTAATATTGCAAGTTGCATTCTGTATTAGCACTTCAGAGTTCAATTTCTTAATAAACATAGTGCATATGCAGTAGTGCTTGCAGCAGGATTCTGACAGCTTGTGTAATTTTTCTTGCTTATTTAGCCAAAAAGCTGACACTCAATATTTTAAGGTTGATAGTAGCTCACTGTTATCATTTACAAAAGTACCAGAAAATGTAAATCTGATTACTGTGACCTTCCTGTACTACATTCTTTTTCTAAATGCAAAAATGAAGCCGCTCTGTGCAAAAATCAAAGGTGACAAAAATATTCTTAAAAAAGGGTCTATAGCTGGTGATTAAATTATAGCTGAAGACAACACCTTTTTTCATTTCGGATAGCCCACAGGAGGGTTATAACCGTGTCAGTTTTTGCTTTCAGTCCTACAGTCAAAACAGGAAGTGAGAGGAAATCTCTCAAAGCAGGGAAATCCTTGGTTGTCGCCAAGGTCATGAGAACTAGTGCCCCCATTAGAAGAATTCACCTCTGCTCCGTTTTTGGTGACAACTCAAAATTTGGGATTTTCTTTCACCTTTTCTTGGTTAGAACAATAAACAGGACAAATAGGGTGACTCTCCCTAATACTCACATTTTAGCAATAAAAAAACTTGGACTGGAGATTATAGAACAGGGGTGAAAACAGATCTATGTCCCAAGGAGAGTGGCCATGGAATATTATGGAATGGCTCAGGCATAGTTCCAAGACACTTCAGTGTAGCATCTCTTGAGAGACTGAAGATTCTCTAGAGCAGTGGTTCTCAACCTTCCTAATGCCGTGACCCTTTAATACAGTTCCTCATGTTGTGGTGACCCCCAACCATAAAATTATTTACCCAGTAATTATAATTCTTGAGTGTCGTTTTACCTCCAATACTGCTGCTTTCAACACAGTAGCTGCTTTTAACAGAGTAGCTGCTTTCAACACAGCAGTTGCTTTCTACATAGTAGCTGCTCTTTACACATCGGAAATATGTGTTTTCTGATGGTCTTAGGGGACCCCTGTGAAAGGGTCGTTCGACCCCCAAAGGGGTCGCGATCCACAGGTTGAGAACCACTGCTCTAGAGTAACAGATATGGACAGCAGAGGGAGCATCTGAATGTAATGGTTATTAAAAACATTTATTTAAGTAGACAATTGGCAACTTACATGATACACATTGCAATAACTGGCGTGTAAGTGTAAACACACATACACTATATTGCCAAAAGTATTGGGACGCATCCCAAATAGTTTTCTTTTTGATATAGCATGGGGAAGGATTCAAACCTCTGTAGGATTTTCTTACTTTTGGTTTCCACATAATGAAGATTTTCCTCCTCAATTTGTTTACTGTATCTCAACAATGTCACAAAGTGACAAGAAAATATAATTTCTTCAGCTGTCACCAGACCTGTTTTTTAAATATATTTAACAATGGGGGGCACCAAGAATCAAGCAAGAAAACCCATTAGACAGAGGTTATAACAGTTCCTAGCCTATCCAAGATATGAACAAATAATGTTTTGCTTGAGTCTAAATTAAGTTTGCAGCTTACTAGGGTAGTTTTTTTTTTTTTACAGTTCATGACAATAAAAAAAACTGTATAGTTTTGTACATCTTTCGTGTTGCTATCTCTCTGCTGCTAGTCTGTTTTGCCTTGAACCAACTAACACAGTATTTTAGCTTGGCCAGATATTTATGCAAACATTTTCCTTAATATGAGAACGTACTGGTTGGTTAGGCCTGTCTAAATAGTATTATGCAATAGTGGCATTTTATATATGGAATTGTGATTATTCATTTTAATTATACAAGTGCTCATGCACAAGAGGTGTACAATTTTCTGTGTTCAGATTAAAAATTTATATAGATCTGAACACAGCAGTATTCTATACTACGGGCCTGTGCACTATTTTGGTCCACAGTGCTTAGCAATGTAAACCAAAACTTAAAAAAATTATGTGTTCTCAGTCCTGTGTATGGAATGTATTGTACACTGTATGCATGTAAATGTATATGCTAATGTTTACATGTATACATTATACAACATACATGGACTCTGTTGGCTGTTTCTTCATGTGTAAACAAAACCGTAATAGTGCAGCCAGTCACAGTGTTTCCAATCACCATCACACCAGTCATGGGGTCACCAGACCAGTTTAGCTAGAAACGGTGTTCCTGGTTGACGCCACACGAGACTGATGCAGCCAGCAACAGTTTTCTTGATCACCACCACACCAGTCCCATGTATGTGAGCAACAGAGTTCCTTATTACTGCCACATCAGCCAGTGTCGCCAAACCAGTGTATGCCAACAACAGTTGCTAATTGCAGCCACACAAGTCTCAGTGTCACCAGACCAGTGTAAGCCAGCAACAGGGTTCCAGATTGCTGCCACACCAGTGCCAGTGTCACCAGACTAGTGTAAGTCAGCAGCATTGTCCCTGATCATGGCCACACCAGTTCCACTGTCACCAGACCAGTAGCCAGCAACAGTGTTCCTAATTGCTACCACACCAGTCCTAGTGTCTCCAGAACACTGTAAGCGAACAACAGTGTTCCTTATCACTGCTACATGTCTCACTGACACCAGTGCAGCCAGCAACAGTGTTCCTGATCACTACCACAGCAGTGTAAGCCAGCAGTGATGTCTATGACTGCTGCTAACTTACACTGGTCTGGTGACACTGGGACTGGTGTAGCAACAATGTTCCTTAACCACTTCAAGTCCGGACACTTTTACCGCCTTCCTGTCCAGGTCAATTTTCAGCTTTCAGCGCTATCACACTTTGAATTACAATTGCGCGGTCATGCAACACTGTACCCATATGATTTTTTAGCATTTTTTTGAGACAGATAAAGCTTTATTTTGGTGGTATTTATTCACCACTGGGATTTTTATTTTTTTTTGCTATATAAATGAAAAAGTCCAAACATTGTGAAAAAAAGTGTTTTTCTTATAAAATTTTGCAAATAAATAATCTTTCTTCATAAATCTTGGCCAAAATTTATTCAGTTATCTTGTTAGTAAAAAAAAAAAAAAACCCAAATTAGTTTATAACCAAAAATTATCATTTAAAAAAATTTTTTTTACATTTTTATTTTATTTATTTTTTTATATTATTATTTGTTTTTTTGTTATTTTTTACGGTCACCCTAGCAGTACAGTGTCACCATGGTGACACTGTACTACTTGGGGGTTATGAAGATTTTTTTTTTTTTTTTTTTTACACTGATTGCTTTTACACCCATAAAGGCTTTAAAAGCAATCATGTCTCCTTCTCTCTGGCTGCATTCTTGCAGCCATTGAGAACTACTGTGTGAGCTGTGATTGGTCACAGCTTGTCACATTGTACCTCTGTGATCATTCACAGATTTCACAGTGCTGCGTGCTCCCAGGGAGCGAGCACAAGCAGGGGGCGGGAAGGCTGTTTATAAACAGCCACCCTCGCCTGCACTGCCACCGTCCGACCGTCTATATACAACGGCCAGACGGGAAGTGGTTAATGCTGCCACACTATTCCTAAGTGCCACCAGACCAGTGTAAGCCGGGAACAGTGTTCCTGATTGCCACTATACATGTCCCACTGTCACCAGACCAGTGCAGCTAGCAACATTGTTCCTGATCACCACCATACCTGTGTAGTGTTGCTTCTGCCTGCTGCCTGTACCTACCCTGACCTGTTTATTGACCATGTTTCTGCCTGCCTCCTGGACCGATCCTTTGCCTGTTTGCTAACCATGTCTATGCCTGCCGCCTGAACTGACCTATCTGCATGCCCAACTGACAGTGTTTCCGCTGTCCTGGTACTCCAGGGTCTCCAAAAATGTGATAGGTAGTCAGGAAATTAGATGTGTAATTTATGCCCATAGAATGCCTGAAGGTGCTCCTTGAGTTTTCGGTGCCTCTTTGCATGTAGGCTATAAAAAAAAGTCTCACACATGTAACCCTATACTTGGGAGTAGTAGTAGCAGAATGTGTTTGGGGTGTAATTTTAAGTATGCCTATGCTGTGTGTGAGAAATAACTTAAAATTATAACACTGTTAAAAAAAAAAATCACAACTTCAGAAAACTCTCCATGCCTTTTACTAAATACCCTGGACTGTCTGTTTTCCGAAAGGAGACATTTGGGGGTAATTGTACTATCCTGGCATTTTAGGGGCTCAAGAAACAAGATTGGCTGACAGTAGATCAGGACTGATCAATTTTCAAATATAACTGTTTTTTTTCATCAAAAAAATGTAGCAGAATACATTTTGGCCTCAGTTTATGAATAAAGATTATTTATTTGCAAAATGTGCTATCAGAAACTAATAAAAGTTTTCTTTTTTTTTTACATTTTTGTTCTTTTTTCTTTTATATAGTAAAAACCCCAGAGGTGAATAAATGCTACCAAAAGAAAGCACTATCTGCCTCAGAAAATTATATAAAATTATTTTGGGTATAGTGTTGCATGAGTATTTATCATTCAAGGTTTGACAGTACTGAAAGCTGAAAAATGGCCTGGACTGGAAGGGGGTGTAACAGTGTGCTCTTCATGTGGTTAAATACCCTCTACTCCATGTTTGGGCTATGTCTGAATAGGGCCGCATACAGTTTGGAAGATTTGGACAGGGCAAGTGCCTAATCTTCAACAAATGCCATGAGGATAGATGATTTGAGCAGAGCCTGATCAGAAGGCTACAACTGATTGTCATGTAGATTTCTACCAAAATAGGAATTAGTGAAAGTCCTTGTAAAAGGTTTGCTTTTAATCAATAGTTGGCATCAGCAACCCCAATGATTTCCAAATGTATTTACTATAGGTAAAGTATCTGCTACCACTGCCTGAAGCCATTGTGACTGTAGTGTGTTTTCCATCAATGGCCTCAACACAATTAGGGAAACTGCATTGTTCTAGAAATACCAAGGAAAAAAACAACACTTTGCTAACAAAGAGTAACAACAAACTGCTTAAAGAATGAACACATTTCTGCCTGGAATCTATTTACTGACTTTTGGTGATTATCATCTGGCCTATATTGATCACATGAGGCAAATAACAAGCTGCATCCAAGCTGCACAATATACATGAAAACATATTAATGACACAAGCAAAACCCATATTGACATACATAAAAAAAAAAACATGAAAACGCATCATGACGTATCAAAAACTCACTGATACCCAAGAGCACAAGTATGAATGGGCACGAATAGTTTAAAAACCGCCATGCCTGCTGACATAATTCACGTTATTTTGTGAACATCTTAAGCATTCAGAATGTTTTTTTAAAGTTTTTATTTTTTGGCATTGGCTCTAAATTGCGGTATTCTAGTGAATATTAACCCTTGCCTTTATTATTCTGAATGATATGAAGATACTGTTTGTTTATGGAAGTTTATTGCACAAATGAATTTAGTACTGTATATGTAGGTATCATGATTATTTCTATTAATAATTGTAATCACAATGAAGGAGGAAGCATGGTGGCCTGTTTGTGTTTTTATTTTTTTTATTTTTTTTTTTAATAGGCAGTTTCTGTGTACTATAAACATAATAATTGTGCAATACATCTAAATTATCATAGCAGTATTAACTGATACAGCTAAGGTGCAGATTTTGTTACTAATTACAAAGTAAAGTTGTAATTTATATTATCGCTGGCAGTATTTTCTGTGTACAACATTGTTTATAAAAAAAAAAAGACAAGTTTTTTTTATGTATTTATACTTTGTTAAACTTGAGAAGTCTGACACAGTTTTTTTTATCTTCTGTTAAATGCAGGATACCCCAGCTCACTATCAGTGCTAAAAGCTGGTATGAGAGAATGTAACCATTACTGTAAAAAAAATAAGGAGGCTTGTGGCCATGAATGCTGTAAGTTTACTAAGCAGTATGTGCCTATTTCCCAAAATAATTTCAGAATTGAAATAAATGATAATTTATTTATGAGTTGTTATATTGTAAAGTGCTGAGCAAACTGTTGGCGCTATATAAATCCTGTATAATAATATTAATAATTTTCAAATAAAATCCTATAACAATAAATTTAATTTTGGGGTATTATCTGATTTTGTCAGGGAACTGTATAAAGGTCTTAAAGACATTGCAGATGGCACAATGTGCTACTTTTAGTGCTATGGTATAACTGTGCTCTGTAGTTTTCTGTCTAAGGATACATGACAACTTCAGACACTAGGTAAAATCAATCAGTGGCCTGTGAAGACTGTCCAGGAAATACTACAACTGTGTCATTTAGAAAATCCTATAATGAATATTTTAACCAGATGTACCTTGAAAAACAAATTCCGTCCATATCCAGAAAGTTCTTCATGGTGCTATTGGATGGGACTAGTATGTTCAGGCATGGTTGAAACACAGAGAGGATGGGGTTTGTAAAAACTGAACATATGGTTTGTATTCTTGTCAAGCTGTTCAGGGCCATTGGAAATACAAAGATAACTGGCAATATTGTGGTTTACCAGCTGTAGACAATGTATGCCAAGACACAAATTAGAGAGGTAGGTAGCCTGAACATTGTAAGTCTAATTAAATGGTAGGTTTTATGTTTTTCTGGCTTACTTTTAAATTAAGGCTACCATTTGTCCCTGTTTCCTGAGGACAATCCCCATTGTCAAGGGTTTTTCTGTAGGAAATTGGTGTCCCAGGAATCCGGGCAACTTAGTACATTGCAGTATACAGCTCCCAAATCAAAGCACAATGTGCAAGCATCAATAGAAAACTTAATCCTGACTCCATTATCTATCCTGACTCCTGAACTCTGTGCATTATCCAATCCTGACCCTGATCTCTGCATTATTTACTCTTGACCTCTGCAGTCTGAGTTTACTTATACCTGAATCCTGGACTCTCTGTGTTACTTACTCCTGATTGTTGAAATCTGTGTGTTACATACTCTAAACTCTGCACGTTACTTAAAGTGTTACTAAACCCACAGCAGTAAAATCAGTCTGTATATGCAGTAAAGCATGCTTGTTATACTCACTGTGGAGCCTAAGGGGTTAATCCTCCACATTGTGTAAAAAGGATGTTTGATCCTGTCTTCTCTGATCCTCCCCTTCTTCAAGTGTCTCCTAAATATCTCCTGATAGGACAGAAGCTCGGTGCCAAGCTGTACATGCTCAGTTTGGTGTGTATTGCTAGAGAGTTTTTTTTTTTTTCTTGGGAGAGTGCATGTGATCAGCACAGGGCCAATCAGCACTGTCCAGACAGAGGTCAGTGGTCCTGCATCCTCCTACAGGAGAATGAAAACTCCTCCTACAAGCTGTAACCAGTGCTTTGCTGGACACTGATAGAAGTCACAAGACTGCTATATACTGCTGACGAGAAACAGTATTTAGCAGTTTATATTTACTAAAATAATTACATTTCCATGTTCTGTATACTGTGGGAGACCCAATATAGTGAATGTAGGGTCCTGGGTTTAGTAGTACTTTAATCCTGATCCCTGCACTCTGTGTGTTACTTAATACTGTCACCAGAACTCTATAATTTACACTCTCTCAACCCATAGCAGCATAGGCCCCCTGTTACCACAATTTGGCCACACCCACAGTTCACCCCACCATTCCTCTTCTCTTGGTTCCCAAGGTATTTTGTCTATATACAGTACCTTCACCTGTCAGCCTTTTGTTCCCAAAGTCTGTGACTGATTGTTTTATACCAGATTGACAGTTTGGCTGGCCCAAAACCGAATCTTGCAAACAAAAAAAAATGTTTTGAGGTGCTGAGCACTATCCTCTGACACCTCTCTCACAGCTTTCAGGTGCTGGCAATTGCTATGTTTGTTCTGCTGGGGCACTCTGCCTTGGTTTCATTGAAAAATGTTGACTTATCACTAAATACTAAATTATAATTGCCAACATTTCAGGAAAAATTTCCAGGGGCATTTTTTTAAATTGTTAACCTAATGCCATACTTTAAATAATCATATAGATGTCAAGGTCCTACCTTTTCCCTGAGGTTATGTTACTCCATGTGCTGGCATCCATCTTGGATTTCGGCTGTGCATGGTGGGAATCCTTTTATGCCTTCAGGTCTCTGGGATCCATCCCCCAGAGGGGTGTGGCTGATGACATATAAGCCTGTGGCCCGCACATGCTCTTTGCACTTGTGTCTTGTGTCTTTGTGTTGCTATTACTCTGTTCTGACTCTCGTGACTCTCCTGGTATCTGATTCGGCTTGTGACTCGACTATTCTTTGTATTCTCCTTTGATCTGACCCTCTGTTGCTGAACCCGGCTCGTGACCTGTGATTCTCGTCTGCTGTCCTGTACTGTTTTGTCCTGTTGTTGTTGACCCGGCCTGTCTGACTACTCTTTTGTCTCTTCCACCAGCTACACGCCATTGGCGGCGGCCATTACCGCAGCTGAGGTGTCTCGGGGGCCGCCACCTGGTTCCTGGCTGCGTCAAGTCCATCCCCACCATCAGGGGCCCTGGTGAAGGGCAGCCTGGGACTTAGACCCCCCGCCCCTGAGGGACTTCGGTCTGTGGGTGGTGGTCGTCAGCCAGTGCGTTACATTGTTAGGCCTGCCTGTCCGTTCCTCGGCCCCTGCCCTGACAATAGGAGAGAGCTGTAGTTATTATGGCTAAAGAAAAACAAAAGTAAACAAAAACAACAAAGTACTGGTAGTAACCATAAACATGTAAACACTAATCCCAAGGTTTTATCAGAAGACTGCAGACATTAACTAAGTGAACAATTGTTCTGCACAGTAAAGAAATGGTGAAAACACTAAATATATTTTAAAAAATGTAATGAAGGGTTAGGTTTACCGTTTGTAACATGTTACATGTTACATCCGTATTAAGGGTGTTACATGTTACATGTTACTGTGCAGCAGACCCCCCCCCCCCCCGTGTTGAAGATGCCTGCCAGGTTAAGCCATCTCGAACATAACTCATTAAAAAGAAAACTTTTTTTATATTTGATTAACAAATTTTTATGTATACTACATTTTTAAAATTATAAGACGCTTTTTATAAAGCAGCGAATGTGACACCGCTGCAGGTGAATCAATCAATGGAATTGTAAAATACATGCTATATGTTTTGTTAACTGCAAAACTGTTCAACCTGTTCACTTCTGTTGCTTAAAGTATACTATGCTGAAAAGAATTGTTGCTAAATAAATACTGCTACCAAAAAGGTTCAAGTGTATTCCTGGCACTGAAGGGCAGGCACACCCTGATCATGCATCCTACAATGAAATGTTTCATATCTGATCATCCTATCCAGAAGTTGAGCCACTTACTCTCAAACCGTGTGAATATACTAACCTGCATATCAAATTCAGGATGCTATTGAGGGCCACTTTGAAGTGGGCCTGGTAGGTGCTGGGGCCTTATGGTGCCTGCATTTATTTGACACTTGTGTTTCACGCTAATTTTTTAATCTTCAGCACGGGTGTACTTTAAATGTAGTTTGCAAGGCTCATGTAAACCTGAGCTTTGTACAGAATTGATGATGTAATATGTTTATTTTATCGTCTTTAGAACTTGTGATCTGAAACTGTGACAGCCTGACATTTACACATTAAAATATAATCTGTTTATTTACAAATAACAGGCAAAATTGGAGTCTCTCACAAAGCTGACAGTAAAACTAATTCAAACTTCTCTTCATATCTGAGTGATCTAAGGAATCGAAATTCAGTTTCATCGGCTCCACCAGTGAAGAGACTAAAGGTAACATGATCAAAAAGGCAGGACGTGGAAATTCAAAGAACATGTCATTACATAAAATGGCTTTTGCGACATCAGCACATGGATTACTTAATGAATCTTACATTAGCCGGATAGTTAAACTAACGTCATGCAGAGTGAGAGCAGCGCGCTCGCTATGCCGAATTGCAGACCCCCACTGTGGCATCCATAACAGCACAAGTCTGGTATCTGATGTTTATGAGGCAGACACGTCTCCCTGTGTTCATTGTCTTTCGCTGGAGCAGTAATTGTTTCCTTTTATTCATGTCTGGAACTCAATTTCAGAGAATGATAAAAGGACAGTAGCAAACTAGAACAAAAGCTAGAGCTACATTAACATAATTTTAATAAAATATGACAAACCTCTATATAATAGTGCTTTTACCTTATTAAACATGGGTCGACATAGTTCTGAAAGGATATATTCTTTTCGAAAATAGTTTTTATAGCATAGGTTTACAGATTATCCTTTAGAAATGTTTTTTTACACATAAAAATATATTTGGAATAGGCAGGGTCAAAAACGTAGTGGGGTTGATTCACTAAAGCAATAGAGACTGTACTCTCTACACTTGTTCACTTTGCAAAGTGAAAATTCATTTAGCATAACCCCTTCATGACGGAGGGCAAAACAAACCTTAAAGCCTGAACAAAGTTTTGCAATTTTGACATGTGTTATTAAAACTGCACATATCATCGAAAACTAATTCCGGAAATTTTTTTTTTCAGGAACAATTGGTCTTTCATTTGGTTGTAAATTGTAATATGATATCTGCTGATTTTTTTTTTTTCTGCTATTACAATTTTTAAAATTTAGCTGTATATTTCTAGTTATGACTATAACCTACCACCAGAGAACAACCCAAAATAAATTCTAGTGCTCTTGACGATCACAGCAATACTACAATACTACATATGTGTATATCAAGGGTATAGAAAAAATTCAGGTCCAGTCAGTGGAATTTTCTTCCAGCAGAAGTCCAAATTGTATGTTTGTGCAATGACTTGGATCCTTTACATTACAGCCCTCTCCTCCTATATCACAATCTCCTTC